AAAAAGACTAAGTAGGCAAATTTGGGATGGAGCAAAAATGAACTCAGGGAGACTCAGAAGACATGTTAGGCCACGTGTCACTTGCATTAAGAAATGTCTAGTTGTAGCTTTTGTGGATGGTAGAATTGTTGTATACAATGAAAGCAGGCATATAGGTTGACAGGGCATGTTGGATTTGGTGAGGTCTGCATTCTGTCTCCTTAGTCAAGAATTTCTCTTCCTTCAGTCACCACAGGGGACCCACAGCTTAAGTGTCACAGAAGCCTGCAGACTGCAATCTTGAGAAGCTGTCCTTGTGGCAGGCAACAGTGATAATTCCAGTTTCCAGTTTTGGCTAGGCAATGAACTGGGGACTGTAAAGTGACATCACCCGTGGTAAACATCCAAACTTCTCCAAGAAGCCTGGGGTTGTAGCTCAGGGGTAGCATGCTTGCCCAGTATGTAGAAGGCCCAGGGTTCAAGCTCCAGTCCTGACTGCAAAGAAACTCTTTTCTACCAACCATGTGCAAGTAAAGACTGTGGCTGGTGTATGTCAATGTCGGAAAAATAAATCGAACAGAAATAGCATAGCAAATGTCATTGGGAATGGAGGCATCACACCATAGCAAATGTAAACGCATTGATAAGTACCATGTAGTGTCAGGAGCTAGTTCATATCTATATGTAATTATACTTTCCCTGGCACGTTGACTCCTTCACATCTGAAACGCTACCACTGTTCTCGTGTTAAATTATATTTAGTTTTTACGTAGCAGGGATTATCAGAAAATATTTAAATCAACTGGCTTTTCTCAAATGCATCTATGTGTGTTGCACATAGGCTGAATAAAATTAAGTAATACAAAGTATCTTCGGTGATATTTTCTCTTGTGGGTTTGCATAATTCTGGTCTTTACCTACAAGAATAAGAGAAAGCAAATATTGAGTATATTACCACCAAAAAAAATGAAATAGGACGAGGTGTTTGCTGTCTGTTCATTGATAAATCTACATAGCAGTTATTGAGCAGTGTGTGGCATGTTCAGTATGTGGTAATGAATGAGTGATCCTTGCCTCTAGGAATATTCAACCTCGGAGTTTATAGTAAAACAAACTAAAATTTTATTGAACATTTGACCTGGGGCCTGGCATAGTGTAGTACACACTTGTAATCCCAGAGCTTGGCAGAGGGTGGCCAGAATTCAAGGTTATTCTTGGCTTCATAGAGTTCAAAGTCACCTGAGCAAAGAAAAGAAGGAAAGAGAGAGGGAGGGAAAGGAAGCCAAGAAAGAAAAAGAAAAGGAACAATTGATCCAAACTTCTCCAAGTTTCATTTTGGATGAATGTGTTTGAGCATCTTAAAAGCAAACATGGTAAGTGTTTCCACAGGCTCCGATGGTCCACTCTCTGCCGCATGTTCACCCCCGATCAGTTATGATGAGTCTTAGGGTTCCTGCCCACCATCAGATGCTCTGAGCTTCATCTGCCCACTATCTTTCAGCCTGTTCCTGCAGCTCTAAATTAACTAAGGTTAATAGGTTTGTGTTTGCTTTCTTGGCTCTTTTGTCAGAAGCCAGAAAGCAGTGGAAATCTAATGTTCCTTCCTCCACTCTCTTGATGAAACATCAAAGGTCCAGAGATGTGACAGAGGCTGCATGGCGGAGCTGTGTGCAGAATGACCCAGAGGCCAGAAGTCAGCCTCAGCCATGCACCATGGTGGCTGTGTCGCTTTACTATGGCAACATAGCCCGTAGCAGACTTCGAATCCAGTCTTTAGTGGTACTTGCTATTGTTCCTACTGTATATATGAGTGTATGCAACTGTTAGCAATTGCATTTCAGCAGGTTCCTACAATGGACAAAATAAAAACCCCATGAAAGGTATAGAAACCTGTCAAGTTTTCTTGACCCCCCAATACATCTCTCAGTGTTAGTTGTTGGTGTCTCAAGAGTCTTTACAGAGGTCCCATCAGGTACTACTGCCAACCTCTTCTCACATCCATATCTAAGTATTTTCTTCAGACAATGGAGTATTTGAACATATTCAGTTACACAGTACATATGGAAATCAGGTGACAGTGTTTGTTGCCACTTTACAAAATAATAACACAGCAGAAGAGAGATATGGAGCATTGACCCACAAGAATGTAAATAGTGATGTCTAGGGTGGGGTGAATGGATACCGTGTCAGCCAACTTAGCACAATGTGACAATAAGAGACCATGTGATCTTTTCACAATAAGGGCCAGTGTTTTATGTTAAATAAACAACTAAGTATGTGCTTCTATGCAGAGGGTTCTCATTTGTTTAGTCTTTGGGAATCGGGACCTAAGTCATCTCTCTGTCCTTCAGGTGATTTCAAGTTGAAGTAGACATAAACACTTAGAGGGAAATAGTTTCTATTCATGGGTTCATCAGATATACCAGGAGGACAGCAAGCATCATGGTGAGCTGTGCATCTTGTATTGATAATTTGAGAACTCTTGACTAAACTCAGTACCATTTGCAGTCTCCTGCTAGTAGCAGGAGGGTTTTGTGTTCTCAATAGTCAAGGCTCCTGGCTTCTACACTGAAGAACGAAAACCACACATACACATAGTGATGCAGGTTGGTGGGTACCATGCACTCACTAAGCCAGAACAGCTGATACGGTATCGCTAGAGGAGTATAAATCCTAGTGTCATTGATTGGTTGATTCTAAGTTTCTCTGAATGTATCTTTTGATAGAAATTTTGTATGCTGAGATGTTTGTTCTAAATTTTAACTCTAGGATATTACTTATAAAGATTAGTAATATAACAGAAATCTGAGTATCCAAATTACAGGAATGGTTAAAGTTAGATGTCTAAGATGGTGGCATGTTCCCCACCAATTGCTGAAAGTTTTGGAGACTAGTTACAACATTGGTTAAGAGTACTGCCTACTCTTGCAGAGGACTCAGGTTCACTTTGCAGTACCCACATGGTGGCCCACAACCATCTATAACTCCCCCTAGGGTTTCCTCTGACCTCTGCAGGCAGCAGACACCCACATGGTACCCATATACATGCAGATAAAGCATTCATACACATAAATAAAATAAACAAAAATTTTAAATGTTTAAAAAGCAAAATGACACTGAATATATAAAGTGTATAATTCTTAATGATTTAATTTGTCAAAACTTATGTATTTATGCGTATCTTAGGATATTTATTCTCAGTATTTTTCAAACTTTTTTACATACACATTTATATGCATATGCATACATATTCTGATAAAACCAGGAGAATACTTCAATTAGTTTCTCATCAAATAGCTAAAGAAAATAATTAGTGGGGTAGGGATTCTTCTGAAATCATTAAGAAAAATGCTTTTAATAAATTGTGCCTTTGCTCTCAGAGTGTGTGAGGCGTCTGATACTAGTGAAATAGACTTTGAGTTCTAAGGTCATCAGTGACTTGTAACTGCTCACGCTCAGACCTGTAGGTGAAAACCTTCATTGGGTCCAGTGAAATTTTGCCCTCTGTTCTTAGAGATGTCCTTCTGCCATGCGTTTCACAAATCTCACTTTTGATAGCCTCATTCTCTAGTTTATTTCCTTTCCTTGCAAGGTGGACGTTTTGCTACCTTTACTGTTTTTAAATTTTCATCTTTCCCTTGGTCCCCATGTTTATTTCCTTTGCGAGAGGAAAAGTGCCTCATTGGTATTTTCAAGTTGTTAGATTTCCAGTAAAATAATTTTAAAAACATAGGGGGACCTCATTGCCTTTGGGAGGTGTTGTTCTCTGATGTGTTCACTTTGAATCTCTTCGATTTAAAGGTTTGGATTGTGCTCACTGTGGGTGGGTTATGCTGTAAGGGAGGGGCCGGGAGCTTTGGTGGGTACCTATGGTCTAAGGACATGGTCAAGAAAATAGGTGAAAAGGCATCTCCTTAGTAGGATAAAATACAAGACTCATGCATGCAGGTGCACTTGCATGCTTGTGGTGTGTGTGTGTGTGTGTGTGTGTGTGTGTGTGTGTGTGTACGTACGTACGTACATACATATGTACGTTTCTGTGTATTACAGTAAGCTCTTGAAGTTCAAACCAAGGAGAGGTAGCAGCAGAAGTTGCAGAACAGCCCTCCCCTTTCTAAGAAGGGAGTGTGCCCAAGTACAAACTAGAACCCTAGGTGTTCATTTTACATTTTTATTTGATGGAATCTAAGGTTATTGAAGTGACGGCAAAATAATAATTTGTCTAAAGGAAATGTGGATAAAGAAAATATTTGAGAATATGGCTGGTCACATAAGCCCAACAGACTCCTCCCCGTGCGCCCCATGACTCAGATCAAAGCATCCCCTGACTTGATCCCAGTGGCCAGATCATTACTTATCGATTGGAACCCCACTGGAGGGTTAACCCCTTGCTGTCCATGGTCACTGTCAGGCTTGCTGTCAGTAACTTGAGAAATACATACTTGGCACCACCACAAGCTAAATCTAAACTACTCATCGGTGGAGGAGTATTTACCCTGAAAAATATCTTTTGGATTGCACACTATTATTTACAATATTTTTTCTGGATAAAATTATTTTTTAAAAGAGGACACTTAGATTTTGTTAAAGCAGTTCGAGGAGAGGAAGAAATGTGAACTGTCCCTGTGTGGAAAATACAAGCACTGCAAATCCAGTACAGGTTTTCCAGTTCGTACTATGTACACTCAGGAAAGTATGGCGGGTTTTGCAGCCTTTGCTGTCTGGGTAGAGAGCCTTGCTTCAAACAAAAACCTGTCAAATACCTTTCACACAGGGAGGTAGGTTCCTAACATCAGGCAAGTGTACCTAAATGTGTTTAGAACATAATCTTCCAGCTCATAGTTTAACTCTTGCTTAAAAAAAAAAAAAAAAAAAAAAAAAAAAAAAAAAAAAAACAGGATGCATTAGATTCCATGGGGAATGACAATGCGAGGTTTGTCACATGCTCCCCGGGCCCCGTGGACTCTCTGGTGTCCGGGCTGTGTTTCACTCACCCTCCCACCTTGTGTGTTTTCTCACAGCTTGTCTCATGAGGAGCATCCCCACAGCCATCCTCTCTACGGACATGGTGTATGCAAGTGGCCAGGATGCGAAGCAGTCTGTGACGACTTCCCAGCCTTTCTAAAGTAAGGATTATACTCCATGTCTTCTCTGTGGCACGGATGTCCCTTCTGTTGTCTGTCCTTCGCCCACCAGCTTGCCTTCCTGTTGGAGAGTGTCACACAGCTCTTCAGAGGGTGGCCTCTGAGTCACCATCATAGGAAGATAGATCATCCCTCGAGGGCTGTCCCCTAAAGGAAAGGAGACTTAATGGAAGACACCAATAGCAGAGTTCCAGGCTAACCCTGATGTAGAGAGAAACCCAGTGTTGCCCTTCAGTTATTTCATTGACTGGTCCTGTGTAGTTCAGTGGCTGGGCCCCTTCTTTGGCATGGGATCCTGAGACAGTACCGACACCTTGGTTTCTTATCTCTCTGTATTGGGTGGCTTCTGTTTAGATCACTCTCCTCCCCAGCAGAAGTGGGGGAATGTATGATGTAAACTCGGGCTGTCTCATCCCAAGCTGTGGCGCTGATAGGCTCTCCCAAAATGGGCTGCTCACCTTCTCCATTTGGAGGGGATGTCTGTGCCTCTCATCCCAGAATTCCCTTCCCTTACCTGTACTGCCCAATCAGTTAGAAATCTGACCCAGCTACCCTACATTCTTGATATCACTTTTGTATAACATGTTGAATCCTTGACTAATCAATGTACTGAACACAGTTGTCTTAGTGTTTTGTTGCTGTGAAGAGACACCATGGCCAAGTCAACTCTTAAAGCATTTAATTGGGCTTACTTACAGTTTTAGAAGATGAGTTGTGATCATAATGGCAGAGAGCAGACAGGCATGGTGCTGGAGCAGTAACTGAGACCTTTACAACCCCATCTGCAGGCAGCAGGCAGAAAGACACTGGGCCTCATGTGGACTTTTGAAACCCCAGAGCCTACCCCCACTTCTCTCTCTCTCCAACATCTCCCCACTGACTTACCTCCTCCAACAAGGCCACATCTCCCAATGTTTCTCAAACAGTTCCACTAATGGAGGACCAAACAGTGAAATACATGAGCCTATAGGGGCCATTCTCGTTCAAGCCTCCACAACAGTATCACCTCTATTTAGTATGCATCACATGTTGCTTCTGTACATCAGGGCACGTGGTGGTTTCTCTGGGGTGAGAGCATCCTTTATGGACCAGATCTTTATGGGCCAGAGACAAACATTATGATGCAGCCATCCCCTAGAGATACTTCTAGTATTACCTGCAGGTAGTTCTGTGTGAATATTTTGTTACTATATCAATATATAGTGGGGTTTGAACTTATAAAGCTTCTCGGATAGTGTCCTTCACTTCAAGAGTATTCTGTGGTCAGTGTACATTTAGGCCAAAAAAGCTAGTATCACGAGCGGCAACAATTGTCTCCAATTACATTATTAGCATTTAGATGAGCGATGCCGGCTTTGTTCTCTATGTAGCTCCTTCATGGTATCTGTTTTGTTACCACCCTATCATTGCCTAATCATATTTATCCAACAAGAGAAAAAAGAGCTGGGCAGAACATGCTTGGAAATTCTGATTTTCCCATCTACGCCAATGCTAAGTAAATACGTTGGATTCCACTCTTCTGTAGAATAGCTGACAAGCATCAGTCAACATGATTTATGATTATAAAATCTTGAACTATAAAATTGTTGTCATCACTATAGGGACAGAAAATGCATTGCCAGTTCCCCAGTTTGACCCATTAAAAAATTTTTCATTAATAGTCCAAGTATTTCTAACCTAATAATCTTTAAGTCATAGGTTCATGTGTTAAGAGCTGGCAGTTAAGATACAACTAGGCCTCAGGATCTAGAAAGAGTGAATAATTCAAACCACTTCTAAAGAAAAGGGGGGGGAAGTAAAGATCATTTGAATTGAGGCCTACATTTACCTCCTACAAACAAGAAGCCTGTTCGCTTCTCAGGATGTTAGGAGCCTGACTCTGAGTTGGAAACCATCTCTCCAGCCTTTATTGTGGTTTTGCACATGGCATGACATGCTCCTGGTTCCTGTTTGCTCAGCGGAACTGGAGTGCCCGCTATCAGCTTGCAATATTGCTTGCTTATTTTCTACTGTTTGCTTATGTGCTAGTATTTTTCAGAAGACTTTGTTTGCAAGTTGTACAAACCTGACTTGAGTTGATATAAGAAAAAGAATAAAGGCAGGGGTGAAAATGAGCCAGTATAGACCGGAACTCCTGTAGTTAGTGCCAGGCATGTCAGGATCCAAGTGGCTGACTGGGGTTGTAGGGGTGCTGCAGTTTGGGGTTCCCATTAGCTCTGTATTTCCCTGTTTCTTCATCCTTGGAACTTTTCTAATTGGAACTGGAGAACACAGATTTGTATATCATGGGATTATCAGTCCCACAGTGCAGGTTTTTTCCCCATTCTTCTCAGAAGACCTTATGCAGATCACCATTGGTTAAGCCCTCTGTTCTAGTTTTGAGCCAAGTTCCATCACATTCTCACCTCCAGAGCAGAGGGACTCACACACATGATCCATCTTGGAATGGGGATGAGAGACGTGGTTCAAGAAAACAAAAGTGAGTCTTCCCACAGAAGAAGCCCCCGTGAATTCAACTTTACTGAGTTCCCAAGTCAAGATCTCAATTTTCCTTCTTTTCCAGCAAGATTTTAATGCTTGAGATTCAGGCTTATCTTTAGGTTCAGATTCTTGCCTAATGAAGTGGAGCACAAGTTAGTCATCTTGGGGACTTTGAGCAGCACATCTGTGCTCAGCCCCAAAGACAAATACAGTGGGTTTAGGGAAACTCTTCTTGCAGTTCCAATGAAAGCCACATGGTTTCCTTGAACTCTTGACACTGTTATCAGAGAACATTAGTTCCAGCATTTCTCTTTAGATTGCTGGGTTGGAAGGCTCTGGAAGAATCTCCTTGGCTCTACTTCCCCATAAGCCTCCTCCATTTTTACAAGTTTTTTTTTTTTTTTTTTTTATGGTGTAAGCAAATTGACACTAGTCACTTCATAATTATGTCTAATTAAACAACTTTAAATATGCATCAGGCATGGTTTCAGATATGTAATAATACATATTAATACATATTAATTCATTGGATCCTCACAGCTCCCTGGGAAAATGTCCTAGTAGCATTTTGAACATAGAGTTAAGTTGATAAAGGAGCAGAGAGTTTGAGTGATTTACCCAAGGTCACCCAAGTCACGGTGACTTCTGGTTTCAGAGTCTTGTTCTTCACTCTCACGCTGTGCTACCTGGGAGAAACTATACTTTTTGAAATTAATAAATTACTTTCTACTTGAGGCAGTGGATGTGAGGAAAGTTTTAAAGGCAGGTGAGGAATGGAGTAGTCATTTGTGTAGTTAAGGGTGCATCTCAGTCCCTTTTAGCTTGTGTGCTCCTTTGTATCAGTAACAATCTTAGAAGGTAGGCTCCATAGGCTTCTCATGGGAAGTGCCTAGCCCTTCTTCCTAAGCTGTCTATAAACATGGACATGTCCCATCTACTTATGTGTGTTTTAGGAGCAATAATTTTAAATATGCAGAAATTCCTGACCTTTTATTTCAAGAAGGCACTTAGGACTGTTCCCTGAAATAAATGTAAAAAGTTGCCTACAGTTCAATCCTAAGGATAGTGTGGCATTATGGAGAGTCATTACATTAGACTTTCCTGGCCATCTGAGTCCTGTCCCCTGTCCCTCTACAGCAGGCAGAGAGCCCAAGTGAGGAAGAAGCATGCCCTATGCCCCTCATGCCAGCTGTATGTGGCCTCTGACATAGGGTCACATTTTTGGCTCCACCCTGTATTTTCCAGCTGAACAGTGCTTTGTGCCTCCTCGACTCTGTTGGCTGGGGGAATGTGTGTGGGAGGGCCTGTAATTTCCCCCAACACCCAAAGGCTTTAAGCTCCTGGCTCTGGGGTTCTCCAACCTAGCTTTTCAGGTTTGGTGTCGGAAAGGAACATGATGCCTCGTTCTAGGTAATTGTCACAGTAGTCAGAAGTGTTTCAGGATAGAACTCCAGTTAGACAATGAAGTATCACTGTCTACGGGGAGAGGAGGAGACTCAGGCAAAGGCAGAGGTGAGTTTTCCTCCTCTTGATGAAGAAGTATTCGTGTTGATGGAAAATGAAAACCAGAGACTTGACTTGACACCTTCACCACGGGGTTGTCCCTAAGGTTAGGGCGACCACAGCACCATTAATTTCAGAGACAAACACTGCTCAGAAGAGCTTGCTGTTCTCCAGCCAGCAGAGACCTTGCCTGTGCTCTGCTGAAGTTTTAGCACTGGGCTCTGTCTTCTCTCTTTCTTAAACCTCCCCACCCAGAGCTGTCACATGACTGGATATTGTTGGGCTTTACTGATGCCAGCAGGTGCTTGTGCTTGTTCTAATATCATCCCAGAGGGCTTTGCTCTGATTTCCTCCAATAACAGGGAATGAAAACAAGCCCATGGCCTTCCAGGAGGGGAAGCCAGGTGCTGTGGAGAGACAAAGTAGACAGGAAGGTTCTGAGGCATGACTACACTCAATTTTCTAGTTCGAGTGTGCAGCCATCCCAGGCTGCACGTTCAGAAATGCTTGCCAGAAAGGCCTGGGCCAGCACCCTGCTGGACCCTGAGTGACACCCCTAAACCCCTACTTAGTCTTCTGTATGATTTCATCACTTTGTATACTTGCATAATATTCCATTTGAAAAGATTGTTTTCCCCTTTTTGGTTATTTTTCCACATAGAAAAGCTCCATACAGACAAAGGCAAACAAAAATGCCTTTAGCAAGTTAGTCAGATGTATGTAATTTATCAAAGCCAGAAGTTTTCTGTGGGTTTCTAATGTCAGACATGAGAACAGCATCGAAGAGAAAGCCCAGAGATGGGACTTTGGCTCTTTCCAGAGGTTGAGGACTGCAGACAGAACAAGACAGTTCTTTGGTAAATTGCTTAAAGGAAAAAAACAAAACATTTGTTTTCAGTGAATTCTACTTTTTAAAACTTAGAAGACTTGCATGTGAAAGAAACTAAGTGTATTCTGTACAGTTTTCACAAGTGTTTTTATCATGGTAACATCTTGTT